CATGGCCATGTCGGGGTCCAATCTCTCCAAGACAAAGACATTCCTATTTTTGAGCTCATTTCGCAGAGTCTGGCCCTTTATGAGGTAGATGTGGGCCATGAAGGGGATGTTCCACACACCACTATTTACACAAGGAAAGACAAAAGAATATATAAAAAAATAGTAACAATGCTTGGTATTATAGAGTCATATTTTAATACAATGTTAAAATAGACTTTGTTAGAGACATGTCCTGGTGAGCAATCGACATGCTAAAAAGTAATCGGAGTTTAAATAGAGTACTCTTTTTGATTCAGAGAAGGATAAATGCAATTTCTTAATGTTCCAATAAGATTATATACAGTGAAATATCAGACCTTAGTCATTTATGGATCACATCCTCCAAGATACTCACACACGCTTTCCTTGCACAATGTCAATGTAGTCCTCAGATCTTGCATAATAACCATCCAGGCTCAGGGCTCCCCAAAAGTTGGACCACAATTTTCCATGACGGGTGACAAGAGGGCCAATTATTTTTCTGAGGTCGAAAAAGGAAAAAAAATCAGCACATAAATCAGCAACAGTCCATAAATGTACTATGATAGGCCTATTATGCAAGATACAATGCTGCTTTTTTGCCACCACAAGAAGACCCTAAAATTATAGGAAAACTGAATGCAATGAATGCAATATCGCCGTTTGATGACCACAAACGTGATGATCTGAGTTTCAGATTCGCTGTAGTACTGAATTAATTTTCCAGGATGACACTGCAGCATGGTGGCAGGAAGGTCCCCGGTTTGAGCCAGAAGGCCTTTCTGTGTGAGTTTCCATGTTCTCCTGTGTTGGCATGGGTTTCCTATGGGTGCTCAGGTTCAGTGGTTTTCAAACATTTTTAAGAGCGACCCTTTTTTTATTTTTTAAATTGAAGTGACCCATATATACATATATTATCACGAAAAAGCTGTCACTCGATTTTAGTTTATCGCGATCACACAACATTCCGTTATGATCAATAAAGCTCTCTACATTGCACAATGAATCTTTTATTTAGATTGCGTCTACAATACTAAAAAGTTGTTTATGCTTTTTGAACATTTTGTTCGGTGAGTGGATTTTAACTTAAACACCTCTGATTGGCTGTTGCGTTCAAGAAATCAACAGACATGTCTGTGATTGGCCACACTGCTCAACGCTGCAAAAACACATAAATAAAAAAAACCTTTGAAGCCGCTTTCCACAGAGCAAACACAAATATGCATTGGAATCTGTCATGACACAGCTGCCGCTTACTTTAGTTTTATTTTTTTTATGTTTATTTTGTTATTAAAATTACATTTGCCGGCATTGCACAATGAATCTTTTATTTAGATTGCGTCTACAATACTAAAAAGTTGTTTATGCTTTTTGAACATTTTGTTCGGTGAGTGGATTTTAACTTAAACACCTCTGATTGGCTGTTGCGTTCAAGAAATCAACAGACATGTCTGTGATTGGCCACACTGCTCAACGCTGCAAAAACACATAAATAAAAAAAAACCTTTGAAGCCGCTTTCCACAGAGCAAACACAAATATGCATTGGAATCTGCCATGACACAGCTGCCGCTTACTTTAATTTTATTTTTTTTATGTTTATTTTGTTATTAAAATTACATTTGCCGGTTTCTGCCTCCTTTCATGGGTCTTGAACTTTGTTACATGCATATACATATATATACATTTTCCTTAAATTATCCTGGCGACCCACCCGAGGGACATGACCCTGTGTTTGCAAACAAGCCAAACCACTACTCTGATTTCCCGCACAATCCAAAAGACATGCAGTATAGGTGATTTGGACAAAATAAATTGCCTGTAGGTGAGAATGTATGTGTGTGTGTGTGTCCGTGTGTTAGCCCTATGACACATCCATGATGTCCCCTGACTGCAGCCCGAGATGCTGAGAAAGGCTCCAGCATCTCTGCGACCCTACAGAGGATAAGTGGTTTGGAAAATAGGTGGGATGGATTGGTTTAATTAAAGTTAGCACATAAGTGGTTACCATGATCCATATGAAAACATATACTTGTGAGGTTGTGAAGAAGGCATCCTTTTATTCGGGCACATGACAGCAGTTTTATATGGTATTGTTCCTATAATCATGAGATTGACCCTGGAGTAACACAGTCAAGTCCTTCACCGCTATTGTGACCTTAAACTCAACAAGCCTACAGAATATCACTTTACTGAGGTAAACATGTCATTCAAAACACATAAGTTGAAATTATAGTGTTGGTCAACAATGTGAAAGCAAGTAAGTAAAATTCCACATTTATACGGTTACTGGTTACGATTTCACTCCACAAGCCAGAGGCCAGCAGAGAGAGTTCCCAAGCCTTCTTAAAATATCTGAAAAGGGCTTCCTCCATAGTCATGCGAAAGAGTGCTTAAGGTTGTCACATTAAATGTGACTGAGTTCAGCCTTGTTTCTTATTTAAAGTCAAGTGGCATTGTAAGAGTACATGTGATGTAGAGCAGACTGTTTCTATGCACCATGGGAAAACAGGAAGCCACCCGTTCTTATTTTTAAACCTTGAGGGATTTGCATTCAGTCGGCTGTAATGTTCCTGTGGTTTTAGCACATGAGAGATTCAAGTCCGTTCCCTCAGACAAAACGGTTACTGTGGAAGATTCCAGATTTTTTTTTTTAAATGCTCAGAATTGATTAAAGGGAAACTACCTGTTTTGTTCGATGAGGAGTTTTATGGTCTGTCGGTTGGTGAGCATCACATCCGCATCAATGCTGAAGTAATAATCACAAGAAAGATCCTTCCGGCACAAATCCCTGTTAGAAAATAGTAAGGGTGTCATTATTAATTCTAGCAAAATTCAGGGCAATGTTGTTTCTCTTGAACAGCAAACAAAAAACAGAATTGAGAGAATTTTGCTAAACTTTTTATTTCCTGAAATGTGACAAACTGCACATATTTGCCAAGCTACCAAATTATGCAATCAAATGTCAGAGATCTGATTATTAACACAAACATTTCTTATCAGATTCGCCCAAGACCAAATTGCATGAGCCTGTCTGAAGAACATATGAGATAAAGTTGATACTTAAATGAAACATACTGTAACTGTGTCCTTGGCTATGAAAGAAAAATATATGAGCAATATAATGTTCCTCTGAATATCATTCTGTGATCATGCGATTCTGAGTATCATTCTCCTAATATTTATTAAATATTCTTAGAATGCTCTGTTCTGAAGCACAATGGAAGGTGTCTGAAACCAACATCTTCTAATGTCTGCTCTGACGTCTTATGCAAACCAGCATTTATTGGACCTAGTAATTAAGACAAACAACTTGAGTGATATCACCATGTCAACAGCTACTGATGCCAAACACAGACATGCAGTAGGAAAACAGCACCAGGACAGAGAATCAACTTGTCTACTGCATATCCTGTAGAGTAGGCCTAAAAAAATATGTGATCGTATAACTTCATACATCCACTAAAAGCTTATGGTTCGCAGTTATTTATGACTGTCTGTGCAAAAGTTATCACCAATCCAACAAGTCACACACTGAAGTTTAATATGTGGGATTAAGGGTTTATTCAAATTACTAACCCTATGTATGAACAACAGTAATAGTGACACTTAAACAAGCAGCAATAATTACTATCTGAACCAGCTAGTTAAAAGTAATTGTAAAAATAGCTCAGAGAAATCAAGTGAGCATGTCTAGCAGCATTTGTTTGCAGATGCCACTTGTTTTTATAGTGTGATAGCTTTTGTGGTAACTGTTTGAAAGCAGACATGTACAAGCAGAATAGTTTGAGCTGGGATGGGAATCTTGGAGACAGCAGTGTTTTGGAGAATGCTAAACTAAGAGCAAATAGAAGGGTTCACAGGAGCTTCTTCTGTACTTCTTTGGTACATTGCTATATGATGGGCAGATTTACTGCTTTGTGGTGAGTCAGATGTTGTTTCTGGGTTTTTTATTTGTAAGGAGTTGAAAAGTTTGCTGACATGTGGCAAAGGTTTGCGTTTATCTTTGATCAAGTGTTAGAGATGCTCAGATTTGCATTGTAATTTAATTCATTATTTGCATATTTTCGAGAGTGACTCTGAAATTAAAGGGATGTTTACATTCCCATGTTCCTTGCTTCTCCTTGAGTTAAGTTCTCCTCGGGGCCAACAGCTTTAAAACTGCGGAATACATCCTTGTTCTCTTCCCAAAACTTCTGTATGTGCTTCTCATGGTAAACCTCCTGAAGAACAAGACATGGAACAAGCACGGTCAAAGACAGACGCTAAAATCCAAAATATATATATATTACAGTAGGAGTCTTTTTATTGCACAGTAACTGCATTGCAATATGAATATTTTGCTGGAAACTCAACAAAATATTATTTAGATTTTATTAACCAGGTTCATCCATCCATTCTCAAAAGAGCTTGTTCTCTGTAGGGTCGTGGGAATGCCGGATCCTATCCCAGTGTTTGGCTTGTTTGTATTTTCGCTCAGTATTTTCACATTACTTGTTTCTTACTCACATGTGAATAATGTGAATATAGAATAACGAATATATCTACCATGTTTAAAAATGGTATAGCAAAATAACATATACCATCCAGTCTTATTTTTCACATAGCAAGAAGCGCTGCTGGAGGTCTAAGAGAAAGTAGAAGCTTCTTTCCCATGACATTGAGCTTAAGGTTACAGATCGGTCACCACTACTTTTGTGGTTCTTGACCAGTCTACACAGCTCACTAGATCAAATGGGACCTGAGTGGCACCATGTAATTTCTCATTTCCGACCTTGGCTCTGGGTACCTAAAGGGAGTGTCCTAGAATCGAGCCAGAGCTTTTTTTAAATTGTTACCGACAGAAGAGCAGGGACTAAACAGGAGACACAGGTGATTCTGGGGAGTCTAAACTGGGACAGTTTCCTTTTCAACCTCAGCATAAGCAGTGTGAGAATTTAAACCCTTGTCCCTTTTTCAAGAACCAACCCAAAACCACTGAGCAGATGAGAGTGGTACGACCCAGCCACTCCCTCATCCTGACAAACAACAGACTCTGGGCTTTGTCTCATCATCCTTTCCAATGCTTCCTAGAAATTAATCAAATGTGTCCGATGGGTTAAAAAAAATAGGCTTTTTTGTTTCACTTGACTAGTCATCTGAGGTTCTACCAGTGACCAAAATGAAAAGGTTCTTCCATTTGCGCTTTAATGTAAGATATAGCCCAAGTATACTTTTTTTCCAGACCAGACAAAGACAAATAAAGTTCTACCCTACTCTCTCAATTGCATTGTTTCAATTCAAAGTCTTATTCATACTGATCTCTGGTTTTGAATTTTCTTACGGTCCTGGGCTGCGCTTCCCAAAAGCTTTGTAAGCCTAAGTTGATCGTAGCTCCATTGGTGGCAATGGTTCTACAATCAATTTAGGCTTACGATGCTTTTGGGAAACGCAGCCCTGCACTGTTTGTTCTACGGACATATCATATCTTATAATGCGGAGTAATGAGGAAAGGTGTGCTCTTAGTTTTCTAAGTGATAAGTGATTGGACGTCTGCCTGGACAACAATAAAACAAAAAATTCTACAGATTTGTGATAGACAGTTCAAGACATAAGAGTCTAGATTACCATAGAGGATCTTTTGACTTGGGCCAGTAAGCACCTACACAGCTCCACCTACAAACCAACTAGCAATGCCACCAAGCAACCAACGTGAACCAACCAGTTAATTTATTCTTGATATGAAAGAAATGTTGCTACTTCCGTTTCATCGCAACTTTAATAACATTCTAGAAACCACTTAGAAAACATTAGCAGTGATAAACATGTCGATGCTCATTATAGAAGAAAAACGATCAAGTCAGCTCAACATTGTGGTAAATTTTGTGCTGACAAATACTACAAGCAAAAATGTGTTATTTCCGCATCAGTAACTCGAGCTTATTGGAAAGGTCTCAAAGCCCTTTTTGCCAACCTTAGTTGAACCCTACGACAAATTTTCAGGACAACCACTGTAAGTTACCCTGTGGATAAAACCCCACACTGAGCAGCCCGCTAAAGAGAGGTCTGGTTGACAGCAACACCCCAGTAAGTGAAACCGTCCTAAAACCAAAGGCCATTTCCTGCACCACAGCAGTGCACAACTTCCACTTCCTCAAGTGGCTCCTCATGGGCATTTATAATTTAAGGAATGTGTAAAGAGACATAGGGCGCATAAGAACCTTGTTGTTGTTGGATACGACACATAACTTCCAAGCTCCACTTCTCTTGGCTTCTCTTTGAGTGAAAACTCAAAACGAACAGCTAGTTATTCTCTCAAAATATACAGACATGTATTAATAGAGCTGGAAATGTTTCATTGTCTTAAATGGTGATTTTAGCATATAACTTTCTAGTGCTTAGGGGAAAAGGAACAACATCAGCTACTGTGGCTTTCATTGGATGACGGTAACCCTCCTGAAGAACAAGACATGGAACAAGCACGGTCAAAGACAGACGCTAAAATCCAAAAGGTCAAATGGTTCTCATTGCTTTGTCAGCCAGACACTCACACTGTTATGAACAAAGACATTCAGTTTATCATTGGGATAATCTAGACTCAGGAACCTCTCCAGGAACTCTGGCAGGAATGGAGTCGGCTGCTCAATGTATATACCAACAGTCACTTGTGGAAATTTCTGTTTAGATAAAGAGAAAAGTCTGGTCAAACATTAATACTTTTTCATGCAGTTGAATTATTCACAATGTTTTCACACAAATCCACCATGTCTTGGTCACAGATGGTACAGCCTTGCTCATAATTCCACACATTGGGGATGTAGTTGGCCAAGTAATTGAAGTATATCTGTGGGAGAAAATAAAATGACATTTTAGGTATTTAGTTATTTTATAATATCTATAAATAAATAAATAACCTTTAAAGCATTTATTCTACATGGTTTAGATGATTTATGCTCCAGAATAGGAAATGTACACCCATATTCCATCCCAGCTTGTAGTAGTTAAATCCAATTTTGGTCAAGACAGCAAACCAAAAATGAATCCCTCTGTCAAACTGTCATGACCTACAGTAACTAGAACTGCAATTATTGCTGGCCTGTTACTTTAGATGTATAACACAACTTACATCAAAGAATGAGTTTTGTATCTCATTTGGAAATGTATAGGACAACGTCGCAGGGAGGGACATTTTGCATCTGATGTTAATTTTGTATTTAAACAGTGTGACAGATCAAGCAGATTAACTGTTCCGAAGGGAATGATGTTCTTGTTCTTGAAAAAGCAAATTAGCGTATAAGAAACAACTGTTTGTATCTTAGATCAGGACACTGAAACAAAATTACTTGTTACCATAAACAGGTTGCCTCAAATTTTGTCAAAAAAAGTAAACCTTAACTATGTATCTTTGATTGATGCGATAAAGGTGTGAATTTTGCAGGGACCCACCCTCTGTGAAGCCCATGGGACACCACACCAAATATGATTTACACCAACAGACATTTGCTATATTTACCCCTACAGTACATTTGTCACACACAAACAGAATTCTGTCAGGACCACTATCGTCAAAGATGATTGACAATTAGCATACAGTTTGGATTGGCGGTATGGTTCTGTTCTGGGCAAGAACTCCCTGCGCATCCATACAGCCTAGCATGGATGAGAGCAGGGAGAGCAGCGATAACCCCCCCAGGGTAAACAGAACAGAACCAACATAAATGTATTGCAGATATCGTTAAAGTTCAATAATGTTATGTACACATTTTAGAATTAGTCTGATTCAAAGGAGAATCAGAAGGCTGAATCCTGACTGACAGAGGAGGAGTTGGGGATGGAGGAGGGTAATTAGCTATTGAGCAATGCGAAAACTGCTGATACTACTGCGGGACCTTATATATGAATGCTTAGGTAGGTGTCATATTCCCATAGGTTGATGGGGATCAGCTGAGAGTCAGCTGATGCGAGCTTGACTAACGTGACCTGCCAGAACTAACGCTACGCTTGATTT